TCAGGGGGGGGTCTTGGCTGGATAGGAAGACTTACTGACTGGGGATGGTGGAGAATCCCTAATCTTATTGGGCTCAGATTTATATAGCTTCGGAGGCGAGATTAGTTCAAGAATAATGTGTTTATCTAAATAATCCAGTCTTATTACCTCCTCACAACTCGAAAGCATTAACATAGACTTCTTCATCCGATGATCTTATCCTTACGGAAGTATTGTTTAGGATCATAGGCAGAATAGTTTGTTGTTGCCCTTATCGGAGGTGCCCTTACTTCGGATTCTTAGATTGTTCGATAATTATATTTTATCATCCGTTTGGTCCGTTTCGGATTTTGACTTGGGATATGAGGATTGATCTGTCGATTCATCTCTACCTGAATTTATTACCCATTTTTCAAAATTATAGACTTCTTTTGTCCTGTGCTTCCTATATACGTTTCGACCCGTTTGTTAGTATATTTGGATTTGGATTCTATACTCCGGGAAAGATACGTCTGTATCATTCTAGACGGCACTTGATCCTTCTTCTGCTCTTGTTTCCTTTTAGAGGAGCTCATCGATGTTGGGAATTTAGTTCTGCTCATTTACGAGGTTTTGGTGGGAAGGATTGACTTCCTGCTGTTTATCTATATTTGGATTCCATTAATTTTTATGCTGTTAGTGGGATTTATTCCTCTTTTTGTTTTGGCTGGGAATATACTTCCTTGGATTACTTAAGCTGACTCTCTTTTTGGTGATTTGCCTCACTGTCTAAGTTACGCACGTTTCATGTCTTAAGCTGTTTTTTCTAACTGAGATTTGTGTTTTGCCGCTTTAGTTGTTTGGTTTTCTGCTGGGTTTATCCTTTTCCGTCTAGCTGTTTGGGATTCCTTTTCTTAAAAATTCTTATACAAAACAGAGGCTTCATCTTCCAATGATTTCTAGTTCCTAATCCCCATGCTCGGCTGTCCCTCAGCCTCCTATTTGAAATCTACACTAATTGAGTGGAGAATCTCTTATGATGTCGGCTTATTGCTGGTCTGTGACTAATTCTATTGTTACTTATATTAGTTGGTCGTGGAACCTATCAGTTTGGATCATCAGGTGTTATCCAGGTAGACTCGTTGTAATGTTTCGCCACAGATCTTACTCTTTTCGTATTTCATCTCTGTTGAGAGAGCCCATTATACTTCGATCTCTCTTAATTCAACCCTGGGGTCCCTTATGGATTGTTGGATTTTGCTCCCGTCATTGGTCATTACTCTGACTCTGAGTTCCTATCCGACTCCTATAATTCTCTTCATAATTGCATCCTTTCGTTCTTCTCCTTCTGGTACGCCGTTATTTTCTTCCTCAGTTGTCTCTAATCTTTTATACTTGGAGTGGAGCCTAATAAGGAGGACATCCTTTCGGGGGGTCTATACACCTTTGGACTGTTACACCCCCTTCGCCCATAGATTCTCCTTCTTTTCCATGAGAGAGTGTATTATCCCTCTCCAAACGCCGTTGGATATCTTTCAGTGATTTTGGAATAGGATTTTTTCTCAAGTTTTCTTAGGTTAAGGTGCTTCCCCCATCCCCTTATTCGTTCGAGCGTAGCTGTTTGAATTCCACACATCATCATGGTTGTAGTTCGATTAGTTCCCTATTTGGATTTGCCTAGGAAACTCCGTCACTGTCTGCTGTGTGTACTCGTATCTAAGCCTCATAATAGTCATACCATCCCGCTGCCCCCTTATTTCCACTACTTCATGTTAACTCGTAACTAAGCTCAGCTAGGGAACTGCCTCGTGAGCTGTTAACAGTATTAGCGACTACCTGGTACTATATCTTGTGTTCCCTCTTATCCTTGATTCTTGGGGTTCCTTATCTTTATGATTGTTGGGGCTGATTTCTTCTACTGCTTTGTAATACCTACGACTGTCTTTCTGGGAAGAATACTTCTGGGGTCCTAGACTTTTCCTTGCTTGTTAATTCGCTTTTGCCCTCAGTGAGCTTCCTTCAGAGTTTCTTCTTGTATTCGTTGATGGGTCCAGCTACGGGAGTTTCCGTTGGAGTAGATTCGGGAGACTCGGTATCAGGTGACTCTACTGCGTGTTTTCTTGTATAATTTATCTCCCTTTTCCATGAGAGCTTTTACTGCTTCAGGTGAGTTTAGGGCAATTCCTTTCGGTTGAATATTAATGAGGAACTTACACTACATTAAACTTATACACTCAATCCCTGACTCCATTAGGCTTCCCTCCTGGTTCATCATATCTCGCTTAGTTCTTGCTTCCTTCCCAGTCCATGTGGCCAGTTGGTCTCACGTCTGGGGGGGGATAGGGAGATAACCATTTTTGTTGTCGGCAGTTACTCCAGGCACAGTACAGACTTTGCTTAATTGAATCGTCTCTTCTGGCAATATTCCTTCTCGAAGCTCTGGTTCGATCCTCAATTTCATCCAGAGGTTACCCTTGGCGCGTATAAGGTGGGGTTGGATTATTACGATCCACCACATCGTTATTCACTCATTCTAATCTTATAAGCATTGTCTTATCCAATTCATCCCCTCAGTTAATACTATTTCTAGACCCTTCTCTTTCCTGTTCTTTCCTCCTTCTGTTCTCTGAAATACTGCTCCTTCGCTCAAAGACACCATTTACTCCTTTCTTTTGGTTCCCGCCCTCAGATTTATTTACTTTCCCTGTAGTTTTGATTTTCCCACCTGCCTCTGCGTAGCGCAGGCGCTGGAATTAAAGTTTACGCGGATATTTCGAATCTATTCTACTCATCCAGAGGGATCTCCTCCTAAATTAAGATTATCTCCCGGTCCCTATCTGGTGCAAACTGATGAGCTACTCTGTCCTTTGGATCTCCTGTCAGCTCCGGCTGCTGTTAGAGGGTCTCTGTGGTTAGCCTCCTTAAATACCTGTTACGTAGGTAGCGCCTGTCCTCCCTAAAGGTGAGTTCTGTTGCATATTCACTGACGCATTAGCCTCTTCGAGTATGTGCCTCCTGTGGCTTCTTGGGGGGTTCTTCTCTTGCATTACTTATCTGAATAACTAGGCACCGTATTTATCTCTTCCTGTCCTCGTCTAGATGTTTGACATATTGTTCAGTTAATTAAGTGGTTGTGCGAGTTCTTCTCTCCCCCCAGGAGCTGTATCTTCGGGGGGGAGGGCCCGTGTTGTTGGTTTATTACCAGTTTAGCAAGGCCTGTAAACATTTACCTCATTCGCCGTGGTGGCTTTCTCCTCCTCGGGAAGGGGCTCCTTGCGGGACAGCATCTGCTGCCTGTATTTCCTCCCTTCTGTACTCCCTTGTGGAATTCTCGATTTGACTTCAGTGTCTTATGCAATTTTGATACTCCTCTTATCATGCTTGACCTCTTTCGATTAGTTCTCGGCTAGTTTTTTTTACTTCTCTGCACTGTTCTCTTACTCTTCTCCCTGTTCAAATTCTAAGGCCTGAGATTCTATGCATCTTTCATCGATCTTCGCAACCTAATGCTAATGCTTACTTGTTGTGTGTGTTCTTGGATTGGGCTTATTACGCCATCATCTATTTTCTCCGCCTTAGTCCTAAGATGTACTTCCTAAATCAGCTTTTATTACTTCAATGATTTCATGTTCCCCTGTTGTACTCGCTATTAATTGGCTCTGTTGTTCTTCGTTCCATGATTCCCCCTCTTCGTTTTGTTTTTCAGGACATTATTGCCAAATGACAAGGCGGTGTTCGTTCCTTCGCCTAGAATGATCATGCCCTTGGAAGGTTCTCCATATACCTCCTCCATTTGGTCTCTGACTTCAGAAATATTTCGGGGTGGTTTCCACGGATTGGGAGATGCTTTGCTAGAATCTGGTTCCGTTCTGGTGTCATATCCTTCCCAGAGTGGAATCATGTTCTTATTTTAATTTTAAGTTGGGGTGCTCTCCTTATCTTTCCGTGGCTGTTCCTTGAGAGTTTGATATGGTTTGATGTTGTTGGTAGACGCAGTTTTACCTTGTCTGCTTCTGTCTTCAATATATTCTTCAATGGTTGGCATTTTCACTTTCCATGGCTTAGTGAGAACTTTTCTTAAATAATCCTCCCACGGCTTCTCTGCTTTGGATTTGTCCTTATTTTCCTTGGAGTTGTATCTTTATTCCATACTCCAGGTGATTCTACACTTCCACCCTCTGATTTCAACCATGGTATACCATCCACTTCGTCTCATTCTCTCACTTAGTCTTTGGGGACTTGTATTGGTTCGTACTCTATTGGAGTCGCGTTTGCCTTGTTCCTATTCTTTGAGATCCGAATTTGTCCTCTGGATTTTTGTCAGTCTCTTGGTCTGCTTAGTTTTTCTGTCTGCCATGTTCTTTTCATTCAGGCGCCGGATTTAGTAGGATTTTGACTATTTCCCTGCCTCATCATCTTTTTCTTTCGTTCCTGCTTCTGCTATTACAGCCGGAGATCGATGTTCTAGCCCCCCGTGCCCTGTACGTCTGCTTCCCTCTGTGATGTCGTCGTTTCTGTTACTTCTCTCCTTATGTCAGTGCGGGATTCCATAGACTATCTTCGGTGGTGCTCCTCTCCTTGACGCTGAATTTTCGTATTTAGAGAGTTGTAAGCCCCCCCTCTATCTATATAGAACTCGATATCACCTCTTGGTCTCCAGGTCTGCCTCCCTTAAGGCTGTTGATATTTTCCTCTGGGATACCTTGAGGTGATATTGTTACCTAATTCCTTCATATTCTATAGTTATTTCTCATAAGTGCTACTGATCCTTGGTCATTCCTTTATTTCTAATATGCTCACTCCCATTTAGGCAATATTCCCTCGGGTGTTTCTCCTCTGACTTGTTGGTAGTATACACACTATTATCTCCTCTATGGCATATTTGTCCTTACCTGCTTTCTCTTTAGCTGCGTCTGCCACTCTTCTAATAAGGTTTATTCTTAATTAGGGGATCTTATCTTCGGTTCACCGAGTTCCCTTACGTTGTTGGATTTTCCTCGCCTCTTACTCCTGTTTGGGTAGTATAAATTCGCTGGCGGCACTGTATGTTTCCTGGAGTTTGTGCTACATTAATTTTGCTTCCTCGCTTTCTGTAGCGCCCGCGATAAGATCCTGCTTTATATTGTCGATATGTTTCCTTGTTCTAGACGGGCACCTGGCCTTATAATTTCGATCCCTCCTGTTATTTTCAGGCTGTCTCGTGGTCGCTGGACTGTGTCCTGTAGTTTTTTTGAGGGGTTGTCTTGGTTGCTCATTAATTATTGTATACCCATTCTCCTAAATTTGTTGCACGGATTGGTAGTCTTATACGGCACCGCTTCGTATAGAACTGACTACTCCTGCCTTGGAACCTAGGTGGACGTCTTCTTGCCCGAGTTTCTAAGGCGCCGTACTGGTGCCGGCATGGTGCGTCACGAGGCCCTTTTTGCTTCATACTCTTCTCCTCTACTGATTGTGCCCTACTTCTCTCTTCAGTTTCTTAGGGCGTAACTTCTATATTTCCTCTTGCATTTTTTCCTATTCTCCTCTTTCTGGTTTCCTGCACGTTTCTGTTCCATAATTTGGATTAGTCGTTATCATTAGATTCTTAACCACTACTCGTAGCCTCGTCTGTACTTTTCCTTCCCCCCGCCTTTCTATTGTTATGAGGTCACGATTGGATCTGCCATATTACCCTCCAGGATATTCCCTATAGGAAAGAAAATAGCAGTTAAGCCAGAATCTCTTGTATCCAGTCATTCAAATAGTTATTCTTCCGCGACTTGGGGGTTAAATATATGTTATGATAAAATATCGAAACATAAGGAATTGTTTGCTCATTTATATTTTCCCCACAACAACTTACCAATATCTCTAGACATCCCTTCTAATTAGGCAGTTGCAATAACACACAATACCTTTATAAAACTCTTTGACTCATTAGTAAGGGAGAGATGTGTTGGATTATGCTTTAGATATTCATATAGCTTTACACCTATGACTGATATAAAAACTATTTCACTGTCAAAATGACCGTGTATTTATTCACTCTCTCTTACTTCTCAGAGGTACTTCATAAGTCTACGGGTCTAGTTGACTTGTTCAGAGGATATGCTTTTATTTTATTAAAGGAATTTATGCATCTTATACTTTTATACTTGCTTAAAAATAAAAGGGTTTATGAATACCACTTAACATTTTACATTCTTGAGTGGTTAATAAGGAAACACCCTTTATAGCATCAACTATAGTCTTAGATACGCACAAAAATGAAGTTATCGTACGAGTTATTATACTCCATGAACTCAGCACAGATTCAACATATTATCTGTCCTTATTCCTTTTTTTATATGTTAGAAAACATGAAACCCTCGATTTCATATATATATTTCGTCAGAGGGAAAGATCTGTTGCTCACATTATTCCTTATGTGTCACCCCTACTGTGTTTCTTGGTTCTATGCTTTGGGTGTAGTGTATAATCTTCATCCCCTGAGCATCTTTCCCTTTATCTCTTCTTCTCGTGTTGTCTCTTCTGTAGGTATTAATTATGTACCTTTGCTTTTAGGCATTTCCACTTTGATTGTCCTGTTGATATCCCCACTGGTTTGTGGTGTATTTATATGGTGTTACATATATCTCTTTTCGTTTCCTGATGTAGATAATTTTATCAAATATGTCAGTTGTATTCGTATATACATTCTATTATTGTCATCCGCTCCTATATGGTTGCTCCCCCCCTTTTAGATTAATGACTCTTTAATATCTTATGTGTATTCTTATTCTTATGCTCATTTTATCATCTTCGCTCGTTCCATGTTATTATTATTCCTAACTCTCCACGAGAAACAGCTCGTTCTATATAGTATTATTTTTTTTATAATTTCTTATTTCTCTCTAGAGTATAAGAAATTTAATTTTTGAGTTTATATAATTGCTATATTTTAATAGTACCGCATCGATTTCGAGTCTTGTTAAGAGGAAAATACTACAGATTAAGGCAGGTGTGCAAATCTTCCGTAATTATTGTTTCTTAATAGTACCCGGATAATTATTGAATCTATATTACAATAATATTGAGAGGGAATAATCAAAGTCCATGACGTATTACTGTACTTACAGTGTTACTTCGCCTATAAGAAATTCTTCCTATATATAAGCACCCTGGGTATGTTGAAACCCCTTTTAGTGATAGTATCCCTCAGTTTCCTATACAGCATGAATAGCCTCAGGATTGGTATATGAGTATTCCTGGAATGGAATTATTTTACAAGCCAGTGTATTGGTGAAATCATATGATTCTTACAACTGCCGTCCTCCTCATGGAATTCGACTCCCTAAACCTTTGTATTATCTTAAACAATTTTCCTCCTCACACAGCACTGTTCTACATAGAATATTACCCTTGACAGAGGCTTATCCTCTAAACAGTTG